TTTGCATTTTAGAAATATCTGGTAGAAAGAAGTATGGGAAAAGGGGGCCTTGAGAAAGACTACATAGATAGGCATAAAGTTTTAATTGAGAGTTAGAAACGTAGTATAAATTGGTAAGGTAAAGCACTCCAAGAATTTTAATTCATGACTCAAAGTAACCTGATAATTATCATTATTATTATTATTTACCATTTTTTCAGAACACTCAAAAGAAGAGAACATTAAGGGAAAGATGCTCAAAGAAATTCTTAAACACATCTTGATTCAACTCCAAATCCCAAGTGAAGTGGAACAGAGTAAACAAATGTTCGTGAAGAAAACTCTCATCAGTGTCGCTCTTTACTCAACAGGGAGCTCACAACGCTAGCCCAAGAGAGGGTTCACACGCCCAGAGAAATACCCAGTCCCCGCCTCATCTCCCCATTCCCACTCCCTCCTGGACTTCTCACATATTTCTTTCTAAAAGATACCAACACTCAATAGCTACTTGTCACTCTGGAGTTCCGGTAATCCTTTTGGCATTGTAACAGTAAAACCCTTCTTTGTCCTTAAAGCAAGGGGGAGGGGTTGCCTGAATCACAGGAATGGTTACTTCAACCAACCATTTTACTTTGCGAGGGCACAAAAGATTTTTCTCAACTGTCTTCTTTCACAATATGCCTTGCTAGCCAAGCCTTAGATGTTAGTTTGGTTTGGAAGACCATTGTAGGCAACTGGAAAAGAACCAGAACTATCTCTGGCACTGACAGAGAATTGAACTTGTACAGGTAAATAAAAGCAATAGATTCTCTGTTCTCTAGTTTCAGTCATACTGCCTTAGAATTTGTTAATAAGTGATTTTCACCTCTCGCCAAGTATTTATTCTAGAAGTTCAAAAAGAAATCAGGCACAAAGAGATCCTAGGTATAAGAATCAAATACTTATTTCTCTTTTAGGGCAGCACTATGGAATTTGGAAAGTTGATGCAAAATCAAAGCACAAAACACCCTCACCAACTGGACCTGTGTGTGTATATGTAATTTACAAAGCCCAACCAACCTACCTAAGAAACTCTAGGAGGAGAAAACAAAAGGAAATCTAAAATGGAAAGAAGGCTAAATATGGCTCCAAGCACACAGAGCAAGGCTTATAAAGTAGATCAGGAGTGTGTGTGTGTGTGTGTGTGCATGTGCCTGTACATTTGTAGAGAAAGAAGGCAAGCTTGTTATTAATTAGGTAATAAAAGATTTTGGATTATTCTTTAAATCCTTCTGTTACTTTTCCTCTTACAAATGATACATTTTTGGGGGCCAGCCTGGTGGCGCTGTGGTTAAGTTTGGCACACTCCACTTCGGCCGCCCAGGTTTCGCACGTTCGGATCCTGGGCTCACATCTACACCACTCATCAAGCCATGCTGTGGTGGCGTCCCACATATAAATTAGAGGAAGGTGGGCACAGATGTTAGCTCAGGGCCACTCTTCCTCAAGCAAAGAGAGGAAGATTGGCAACAGGCATCAGCTCAGGGCCAATCTTCCTCACCAAAAAAAAAAGAGAGATACATTTTAGCGGGGG